GATGCAGAGAGGACCACAATGAAACATCAAGTGTATATTGATTCGGTTTTGGACTTGATAACGATTTCAAACGAATGTGTGAGTATCGAAAATTGATAATGAAAATTTCAACGCATACGTATTGATATTTCCCATTGAGTATCGAATCGTTTGAATGTCGGTATAGATCACCACCGCTACCGTCAACCATAAATTTCTAACAGCCAAGAAAAGAAACCCTTCATTAAAAATACTACAATATAAATTTCTACGATGCTTATTCTTTAATTTTCACCTTTCTGAACAAACGAGTGTGAGAAAAATCCGAGGCTAGTAAATAACTACAAATTCATACAGCGTATCCGACAGCTTATTAAACGACAACATCAACGTAGCAATTATTTTAATCCCCCAATTATTTCGAGCATTAGAGTCCATCCCCCTTTTGCTTTCCTTTCGCTCAACTACCCGACTATTTTATCAAAGCTCTCTCGAAACAAGTTTTGAGACACGCACGTATGTAAATTAATAACTTCAAAGAGTTTTATTACATTTAGAAATATAAAATTCCACGTCGTTCTGAGCTCAATGTTATTAAACTTGATTAGTTTGCGTCAAAAGTAAATTTAATGTAAATACATAATTAGTAAATTTAATGTAAATTTAAAGTAAATTTAATGTAAATACATAATTACATTAAAATAGATACGTTATTAAAGTTGCTGAGAAATTTATAAACGAGAAACTTTGGAATTATAATTAAACTATGAACAGGTCTTCGATTTAATCTATCGGATAGGCCAGTCACATTAAAATGTAACGACAAAGGGTCATTTAGTTTATTCTATCTTTAAATTCTAAAATTAAATTCTATTTTTTAATGTCTGAGGAAATTTCAAAAATTTGCTTAATATAGTAATGATAGATAATATATACTACAGCATTATAATACTGTAGTAGTAAACTATTGTTTGGTACTGGATGGATCAATGATTAATATATTATATTCGCACATATATTGTATTTGAAAAATTAGATATCTTGAACAAGTTTCCTAGGAAAAGCGAAAAATTCACAGAATAATTTATCATAAAGTTTCCATTTTTTTAAACTTTGTAAAATTGTAATATTGATAGACATAATGATGAGAAAATATCAAACAAATCCTTGGAATTTCCTTTCACAGTCTCAATGTCAAAAAATAAAATTTGACAATATAAATTGGTAGAAAAAAATTATTGTCATGCACTTGAATGAAACATTTCTGGACAAAGAATATAAGTCATAATAGTAGCAGAAAAGTACTTGTACCTAATATTTAAACTGCAAGATCAAATGTTAAATTTTAAATATGAAAATGGATAATACATATGCCGTCCAGGTATAGGCATTATTTGAATAAAATAATTTGAGAAATGATTATTTAAATAACATATCATCTTACTTGATTCAATGTTATTTTGAAATAATCTTACATTAATTCATTGGAATTAAGCAAATAATTTTCATTAATTTATTTGACTTTATGCATTATCAAATAAAATAATTTTCATTTCATTTTGTGTTTTGTATCTGTTTCTGCAAATGATTTCTCAAACAGTTTCTGATTCTATGGTGTAAACATCACCTTTTACTTTAATGAATTAACTCAAATCAAAAACATTTGATTTGATAAGGAGATAAGTTACTTTTCCCGAATAATTTTTCAAATAAAACGAATAAATTATTCGTATAATAAATGACTCGTTATTTCAAATTGTTATTTCTCATTTTTACTTTGAACAAAATTTGTCCAAACCTGTTGAATTTACAAAATATATATTACACCCGGTTTAGAAACGTTCTTCTTTCTCTGGAAACGGGATAATTTATATTATTCTGACCAAAATTACTTGTTTGCTATTTATTAATTTACGTTATTGCGACTTATATCCTTTTGCCCGTCCAGCGAAGAAATAATGTCAGTGTAAATACCTTGCCCCTGGCTCTCGACGAAGTGCACCTGGCTGAGGCTTCTCGAGAACTCGCCCTGCTTAACCTTCTGCGAGAAGTCGCCGTTGCCGAGCCTCTTGGAAAACTTGACGCGACAGTTGCCCCGAGGTTTGCCCGGCCTCAGCAGCGACGACGGCCTCGGCCTTTTCGCGAACGTGTACGGGATAGTGTAGGGCTGCGCTACGTAAAAGTAAATCGGCCGGTAGTCTTCATGGAGATGAGACTGCACGAACCCGCCGTTCGCCGGGTAGTTGCTGTACACGCTCGGTGCTCCGTTGCTGTACGCGTACGAGCCCGTGTAGTGGATACCGTAGTGGTTCGCCGTGTTTCGTGACTTCCTTTTCACCGTTTTGAAAAAAAATAAAAGTACGTCCGTCCGTCCGTCTCGTTGGACAAGGTCGTACTCAGCTTATTAGTATCTGTCCACGAGCGTCACAGATCTTGTCGTGCAATTTTTCCATTAAATATCGTGTCGATTGAGAATTAATTAAACGCTTCGTTATACGTTGTACACTACTTCTCTGCTGCTGGTTCTTTCTTTTATTAGGGAAAAATCTCCTTCTTCTTCTTTCTTTCTTTTTAAGATTACGTTGGCAAAATAGTAGCTGTTAATTTTTTTAGTTAATTTTCTAATGGATAATCTTTACGTTATTAAAAATATTCAACCAAGCTACTGGTACTTATCAATTCTGAATTTCTTAGTCTAATAGTATGTTCGTAATACTGCTTCGTCTATTATTTTTTTATCTCTAGTACATTATGTGATAAATGTACTAGTATTTTTATAATGAAATACTTGCACTCTTATACGTCGCGTGTTATTTGTATACTACTCGTCCTATCGTCCCCAGCGTAAATCTCTTCCTTTTTCTTGTAGCATCAACGTCTGGTTATCGAAATCACGTTATTTCTCCTTCTTGTTTCTTGTGACCTTTTCCAGCACCGCAGTTATGAAGCTTTCCCCTTTTGATAAACCGTGTAACAAATGTCTGAATGATTGATTCCTCTCTTGGTCTCTGCAAGAGGATCGAGATTACTTTTCTCTCGAGCAAAGAGGTATTCGACGGTTTATCAATTATAAATTTCAGATGGAACGTTTCATCGACTGGAGGAAGCTGAGACTGGTTACTCTTTCAGTAGCCGAAGAAAGAGACAACGGGCAAGAGAAAGATAAAGAGGAATCTCTTCTGGCTCCCGAACGGAAATTCCTTTCCGGCGATTCTTTATCAGGGGACGTGATTCAAGTCAGCAATTGAATTTTTCACCGGGACCGTCCGCTCCACATGCAGGAGAGATTGTTCTCCCGTAAGACCGTCTGCTCCGTTGCGGCTGTTTTAAATGAGAAAATCGCCCGCTATCCGCTTCTTTCCCGCTTAATTGTCAATTAAGTGTGCGCGCATATACGTGCCTGAAAGTTTTTAGCCCTCTGACCACCACTAGTTTCCAGTTAACTCAGCAACGTTGTAATTTGCATGTAAGAGCGAAATGCGTCGTTGCCGTTGTTTTCCCGCGTGTGTTTCCTTCCTAGCTGCTTTGAATGGTAAAGGAAGATCCTGCTGAAGTTAACTTTCCCTCGGTGTCCTTTTTTTTCATGAATATTCTCGCGCTGCTTTTCATCCCTGTACCTTTCAATCGTACACACTCTCCCTCTCCTTGAATCTCTTTTTCTCCTGTCCTCTTCTCCTTCACCTCCCTTTATTTTTGTATCTTTTAACGACCACTTGGGCACACGGGACGGTTCTTTAGCAAGCGTGAGGTTAAAATCCCAAACAGCTATCAAGATTCCCTTTTCGAATTAAAATTTCAAAGCGAGGCTTCGTGAGCGTAATAATTAAATTAAAAAGCTTAACGAAAACGCCCCTTCGTTTATCCGACTATCCTTGCATCGGAGAAATACCACGACTGACAACAAGTATAAAATTGACGATTGAAACTGATGACTATTCCAGAACTAGAAATGAGGGAGAAATACTCCGAAACTTTGGACATTCGTCGTTTCACAATAAACAGCAGAACGATCTGTAAATGAACGAGTGCAAAACTGTGAAGTTAAACCATGTATCGTGTTACACTTCTGGCCACAATTATTTCCTTTCCTTTATCTTTTTCTTTCTTTCTTTACCGAAGATTATTGTGTAGGACGAAGGTTATTTTGTATCCACAATGCTTTAGGATTCTTCTCAAGTATCGCTCGGAGTCCAGATTTCTCGACGGCGGCGACGTGCTGCGTGGTCTTTTCTTCTCACCGTTTCACGTTGCGTCAACTGTAAACAATGCGGTCCACGTAAGTCTTGTGCTCAAAAATAACGTACATACACACATACAATGGAAATGGACAAAAGGGAACAATTAAATTCCTTTATGCCGAATTCTTAGTAAATCCAAGTATTAAAATAGCAAAAATTTTCATACGGATACTTTTTAATCTTGCTCTTCTTTTTGGACAATTTCAAGAAAGCTTTCGCAAAGAAACTCTTTTCTTCAATTCTTATTATTTCAAATCTTGAATCAAATTGAATTAGCATTTAAATCGGAAATTAGCAAATCCTAAAAAATGCATTTAAATTCGTTAAAATTAGAAATTTAAACAAGCACTTTTTGCGTTCGGAACTTGTTACTTTTTTCTAACCTAAAAGATGTACACAATGCAAACGTCCCACTTTTCTTGAACCTTTAATAATACTAAATTAAAATTTTTTTAACTTTAATCTTTTAATCTATTTTTCGTCGTTTCTTTTTCTTTTTGTAACCTAAAAGAGAAAATAATTTAAAATAGCTTGATTCTTTGCATAGATTTTTTCATGTTGCATAATTTACCATAAGTTAAATAAAGTTCCGTATTATCTCATTCTTCAGATATTATTATTTGTTTCTGTTTTCTTTCTTGCGAGAATATTGAATCATCTATCCCTGTTTAATTTAATAATGTATCTCATCCTGATATATATGTGCCTTTCAAAAATTCCTAATTGTAACTTTAGCTTAATCGCCATTGTCATTCTCAATCCTTAAAACTTTCTCAACTAAAAGATTTTCATTGCTCAATATACATATCGATCATCCACTACATGTTACAAAATAAAATTTCGTTTCCATACTAAACAATATTGTAAATTTCCTATTCAAATAATTGAACAACGTAAGCCATCCATTAAAAAAAAAAAAAACAAAATTCGCAAGTGTCACTTAATCATCCCGTTTTCCCCCACTCTTGCTATTTCCAGTTATTTTTCAATGTTCTCAAAATGAGTTTACGTTGGCATTCGTGAACAACGCCGTCGGGTAGCATTCTTGACGTAACTGGAGCAGCAATTGCACGAACGTAATATATTGCATTCACACGTCCGCGCATTGCGCGAGCGCATCGTTTTTTATAAATTGTTTAAGAATTTATCCGTTACTGTCCTGACAAAATTACGTATTTGTAAACTGGTCGAAAATATCTCGGATCCATTCGCGTACAACTGTGTGAAAATCGCTAAAAAGGGATTTAAGACCCAACACACAATGACGTGATGTCGCATCGGGTCGTTTGCATCGTTCGCAACAGTCACGCCGTGGATGAAATATACGAAAATTGACATCTCATAAAATTTCATCTTACGTGCCTTGAAATACCGATGGTGGAAAGAATTACAGATTTTATTTTCATAGGCGAGGTATACAAGCGAAATGGGTTTAAATTACATAATTAAAGATTACAATGCCATCGGCGAAATACAAAGTACACTTCCTACGATTCTCGAACTCGAAATCGATATTGCTTGTGATCGATTTTTAAACAAGTATGGCGGAATAAAGCACACCGCATCTGTAAAGAAGAAAGTATTACCCAGAAAAATCATGCAGAAGGAAGTATCATCCAAAAGGTAAAAATTTAAATCAATAGCTCTTAGATTTGTATTTATGTTGTATATTTTTAAATTAAAATTTGCATTTTTGGTTTCAATCCATCGAGATGCTAAAAATTGTTTATAATTTTATACCAAAATTTAGTTTCAATTGTAATCAGAACAAATGTAACCTTGTAACATTGACTGGCTCAATCAATGTTCTTGCACACTATCATTAAATTCATCATGATCATGAAAATTAGAGTCTCCCTTTTGCAACGAGCCCGAGAAGCTCTGCTGTGCTAATTTTTTTCCCAATTTTATTAGGGTTAAACGACGAAATGTTAAAGTTTCTTGAATTTTGTTGTTTAACCCTAATATTTGAAATTCAATAAAATAGAGAAAAATAATCATATAGCTAGTTCTAAGATCTCATTGTACAGGAAGAATTTTAATATTTAACATCATGATTAATCAGTCACGACAAAAATTTCTTTTCTTTGGGGAGAGATTCGTATTTTTATAATTTTCGACAAGAAAAATATTCTTTTACGCTTGTTGTATACTGTAAAAATAAATAACATTGAACGAAACAAACTGAAGATTGTTAAAATAGAAACTTCATTATTTAAAATAAAATCAAGTTAAATTAATAAAAAATAATTATTCTACAATTACTTTTTTTCAGGACAGTATAATAGTTCAGCCTTGACAAGATTTCATCTAATGTATGAATATTTTCATTCTTTTTCTAGAATTTCTCATGAATTTTGTATTTGACTTCAGATCAGAGTTTTTTATTTCTTATTCCGTGCAAAATGCGCGCGTATTGAGTTCAAATTAGTTAATGATGACAGCGCCAACGGCGAAATACGGAATATACTTCCTACGATTCTCGAACTCAAGATCGATATTCATCATGATCGATTTTTAATCGGAAAGTGGCGGTTAAAAATGGCGGAGAAGAGCACACCTCGTCTGTAAAGGTGAAAATATTACCCAGAAAAATCATCCGAAAAGAAGTATCATCCAAAACTTCTCAGGTAAAAATTTAAATCGATAGTTATTAAATTTGCGTTTGTGTTATATATTTAATATAATATAAGATAATAATATAAGATAAAATTTGTACTTTTGGCTACACACACACTTCTATTGTAACATTTTCTACTCATTTATTGATCCTTTAATTTAATACTGTGCAATTCTTAACAATTTATTTATAAATATTAAATTCAATAATTATTAAAAATGTACGTATTTAATAGTTAAAATAACAATTTTACTGCGTAATATAATAAAATTTTTCATTTCTCAAATAAAATAAGGAATAGAAGGTCTTAATATATATAATAAGGAATTATATAAAATAAGGAATAGAAGTACGAAATTCGAAACAACACATGGACTTTTAAGTATAAATTCTAATGTTTAATGTTTTGTTATAGATCTTCTGCAGTCTCTAATCTTCCCCTAATTTGCCAAAAATCTTATGATGCTTCAAAAGCTAAGAATGTAAGTACTTTAATATATTGTATTTGAATTAATTCTATTCTCTATAATTCTTTTTCTATTTAATCGAATGTAAAATTATAACTATAAAATAAAAATAGTTCAAGTTATCAGTCCCAATTTTTATCATTATTAAAATTTAAATTTTCACAAATAACACTTTATCTCTAGGAACAAAATGTTTTATATTTTTTCAGCAATTTTTCACGCGTCACTTCCACCATGAGATTCTCAGTGGTATCTACTCGATAAGAGTCTTCACTTTCCCTGCTCCAGTGCAGCATGATGACGTTCTTCACATCTATCCGGTGAGTCGCATGCATTATGTTCCTCCGGTCACTCAATCATGTCGTAGGACAAAAGGTCCGAATTGGCACGGATGACTGGTTGTATACGTAGAATTTTTGATAAGCATAATGACCACGGGTATTTTTCAT